AAAAAAAAAAAAGTTAATCTTTATGTCTGTACAGCCTTTACATTAAGCATATAGAAAATTAAGAAGAATGTTTGAGGAAAATACACTGCTACCTTGTAAGCACTGTATTTAAATAAATATTATTATTTAAATATTACTATTTTTAACTATTATTTTGTCAAACTATGTTTTGGGTGGTTGTGGGTTAACGTTAAATGAAGCGATCATGATTCCTGTTGCTCAACCTTGACGCTCATATTTTGAGAGTGCAAATAATACACTGCTGTTTTAATTAGCAACGGGAATAATATGCTGTAAGAACACCAGAGGCATCATCAGACATCACAGGCTCCATCGGCATCAATAAACTTCTATTTTGTTCTTTTTATTGTTCATTGACCAGTATCCTCTAGATATTATATTATTATCAAATACAGTACAATAAGTACTACAGCAGTTAAACAATTTAAATCAATTCATTTTGACAATCTCTAAAATACCCAAAACATTATTTGCAACACTGCAGTTAAGTGTGCATTTCTCTGGAACACAACTTGCCTTTCTACTTGCATGGAAATATCATCTGGTGTGGGACAGATGAGAAATGAAAAAGAGAATAATATACCAGACGCAGCCCTAGGCTACAGAATGCGGAACTCGAAACTTCCTTGGTATGTATTAGCATTTCTAACAGAAGATGTTTCCAACACTTGTTTACCATTGCCTGAATGAACTATGTCAGTTTTAGGAAACAGTTTTCCTGCATCCATATATAAACTGGTAAAAACGTGATGTTTATGTATACAGAGATATCACAGTTAGCATCTATTCTGGTCAGAGCCAGTGTGAACAGCTTGCGCATGACATGAAGTGCCATGTTTGCCCACTCAGTAGGGTACAAGTGCAAACAATCACAAACTAGAGTGTAATGAGAGAGACACAACTGAATTTCTGTACGGCTGTCAAAATGATAGAACCCTGTTGTTTATTTATAATATTAAATATTAATAGTATTAAATCTTGAGTAATAGTTGTTTCTTTATGTATTTGTAATGAAGCTGGATTTGTTCAAAGAACGCAACAATTTTAAAACATTTTTCTTATATTTTTATGCCATGGTTTAGACCAAGTTTTCTTAACAAGATACTTTCTGCAAAATTCTGATTGGTTAATATAAATTGTAAAGTAATAATTGCTCCAAAAGCACATTAACATTAAAATAGTTTAATTAAATATACTTTTTCACCTTTACAAGGTACATTCTAAAAAATGCTGGGTTGTTTCAACCCAATGTTGGGTCAAATATTGACTAACCCAACTGTTGGGTTCAATTTTGGTTACATTTTTAAATGAGCTTTTTAACCCAACAGTTGGGTTAGTCCATATTTGACCCAACATTGGGTTGAAACAACCCAGCATTTTTTTAGAGTGTAGCTTGTATTTACCCAAAACCTTTTTTTTTACGTTTTTTCATTCTTATTCTGTTAACATTACTGTCCAGTAGATGGCAGTAGACTGTCATACTGAAAGCTATACGGTATATTAAATTGTTTGTTTTGGCAGGGAATGGCAAGGTTGGCACATAATAGCAGTGATAGAGCTTTGTTTAATGTGTTGGTAAAAATAAAAAGAGCAAAAAAAAAATATTACTGTTATAAGACTTTTTTGTGTCGGGTTTCCTACAGAGCAAGTAGCAATAATTACCCCCCCTAAAATATGGTTTGTTGCAGCAAGACTGTTGTAAATCTCAGTTTAAAGCAGTATCCCCCGTTTTTTAAACATTTGAGAACTTCAAGATCATCTCACACTTTAGATGTACCACCCTATTTTTATGGTGTCAGCTAAGTTGTCTTTTCAATGCATTTAGTTCATGTCAGTCCATCTCATTATAACATTCATCTCACATAAACTATTCAATATTGTATAGTTAATTTTACTGAATTCAAACGTAAAATAAAAACTACAGTTAAAACCTGTTAACTACTTAAATGCAAGTTACCTAACGTAAAATAGATTACATTTTAAAATACATGTAAATTACCTGTAAAATGATGATTTACAATATTAAATTGTAAAAAAAAATATATATATATTATACAATTTAATTTATTAACATAGGCCTACTGTTAGAAACTAATATATGCAGTCACACTGTATTTTTACGATAAAGATCAGTTGGTAGCATAAATTCAACAAATTTCTTACTAAATGAACGAATTCAGCTTTAAGATTACAACAACGAACAATAAAAAGTCCATTTTCTCCACGAAGCCCCATATAAAAAGAATATGATATGATCAAGTTCAAGAAGAATATGATCACCTGAGGATTGCGTCCATCTTTCTGGGATGCAGGCAGGACAGGGGTAAGTTCAAGCTCAAACCGTACGCAACGTTTTGCTACGGTTTCCGGTTTGAACGGCATGTTTCCTGGAAACGGTGTGCAAGGTGGGTTGAGATACATTTTCTCTTGTTTATGTGTCAAAAATGTCAGTCCAATCAGCAGCAACATGTTTATAAACCACGCGGTATTAAAGAGACAGCTCACAATGTAATTAACATCAAAATAAATTCACAAGAGCAAGTATATTGTTTGCACATTTTTATTTACATTAAAGGCAAAATAACTGAAATAAGAGCACAAGTATAGATCTGGAACTTCTTTAAGTCTGTCTAAATATCATTTAGTAATTGCAAGGTCTTCTGGTCCATATCCTTTCCTTAGGAAGGTGTGCTAGACATCGATTAATGTAACATAAAAATACTATACATATTTATATATTCTGCTATTGTATTGTGGAGTGACACGTTCATAAACTTCTCTATAGGCTACTCTTCTGATTATATAATGGTAAATATTACAATAACATAGCACAACAACAGTGATCAGCAATAATGATAAGCCTAATACTCACAATAAAAATAATAAGACCATATAGATCATAACACAGTCTCGGAGGTAAGAAGTGGATTATCCTTCACCTGAAATGTTTGTTTTTTCATCCTGAAATGTGAGGCAAATATTGGATCACAATAATTAGGAACCAGAGTTCCCACAAATCCCTTCACTCGATTGGGATTTCTCTTTTATTCTGGGTGGCAAGGGCAGTGACTGTAACATCGAGCGTATTTTGCAGTATTGGGGGCCGTTCACATGTCGCGCCTAAAAACGTGTGGAAAACGCTAGGCGCGCCGCTTTCTGCTTTTTTCCAAATCCTTCGGAATGTGAGGCCACAAGAGGGCGCATTGAGCAAAATATTATGCACGTTTCTTCAAAGCCTAATAAAATAACACGACTATCTTTGAAAAAAAGTGCATAATATTTTAAATAATGTTTATAAACATATAAAGTTGCTTAAACAATTAGAAAAAAAACAGCACCATGCATGTAAATATACTTTAATACAAAGGACCGAAAACCAATCACAAAGAGTAGGCTATTTTCTTCATTTAAAAACATGAGACACAGTGGGATGGGGGAAAACCTCCATAACGTCTTTGGACATGTTTTTTTTTTTTAAGTTGAACTTGCATTCATTTTACATGGCTTTCTAAACATGCCGCTCTCTGCGAGACGTGAGTGCAACGCTGATAGATGTCACTCTAGAAAATGTGATAAATATGCGTTGTGTGAACCGCTTGGTTTCAGTTTTGACAAACAACATCTTCTCCACATGCTCTGGTTTCCCGCAATATATGAATAAACAACGTAGCAGCGCCACATCTAGTGGGTTCAACTGGATAGGCTAACAAAATCCTTCAAATGCAATCAATGACACATACAATCGACAGACCTTACATTCGAATGCAACGTTTTTGCATTCGAATGTGGATTTATTTATTTTGTATTCAAAATAAAAAATAATAAAAACTGACAGTCCTAGTTGCAACTCTTGCGTCATCGGAACAGGGTGTTCAACGCGCCACCGTTTCCGTTTAAAAAACGTTTTGCACCGTTTTGTCGGGGCTGAACGCACCCCTGGTCTGCTTTCGCGGGAACTTAAGAGGACAGCGCCACTGTCTTCACGAGCCTCGTTTTAAACCGGATGTAAGTGTAGCGGCGGCGGCATCTACTTAAGGCGCTCGCTATTGCTAGGCGACGGGCTTTTTGCGTGACCCGTTTCGAGCTCCATCCAGGGTCGCCTCGTCATTGTAGCGGCTCCCTCTCCACTCACATCCTCCTCGACAGCCCTCTCCTCCCGCTGCTCTGCATCCCTCCACACACATTGCAGGTAGACAGACGACCTAGAAAATGTCTCACGCGGGGAATCCGTTGGTGATAATATTCGGAGTCTTGATGCTGCATTCGGGCTCCGCTCAGAACGGTAAGGACTTTTAAAATGTGTTGCGTTTAAAGAACCGTTTCATCACAGATTTTAAAGGCTTTCCTGATGAGGGAACGGTTGCGGCACGTGCAGGTAATTTGCCTCGACCGCACCGGATAAACTCTCACCAATCCTCAGCATTGCTTTCGGAAATGCTCAGAACTAAACGGGCGCCCAGGGTGTGAAGGGTGACATTAATGTGTAGCCTATTAAATATTTAGGTAAATGTGTCCTTGTAGGTTTAAATGTCAAAACGCATTGCAATTCCGCTTTAAAAGGCAGTTTATGTCTTAATAGCGGCTCGCTGTTCTACTTCAATACGCTCACAAATAAATTACATTTGTAATATTTGGTGACTTGTCCCACAGGGCGCGTCTATTTGTGGCTCTTTTACAGAATCATTTGGATGTGTTTAGTTGGGTCATCGGCTGCTTGTCACAAACCCACACCTGCTTGATCCAACGCGGACCGATCAGAATGCAGAATTGTGTGTTTTCGCACTTGTGCTTGATTTGCATGCGGCAGGTGACTCAGGAATTCTCCTCCGACTCAAAATGATCTGTTTGCGTAATTTTCGCCCGAACTCGCTCGTCAAATAGAGGCAGGTACCCGCTTTGAGCACCGGTCCTCTGCAGCGCCGTAAATAGCAGCAGTCCATTCTGCTGCATGTTTCTATTTATAGAGCCGATGCAGCAGCGGTATGCGTGGCGTTAATGTCCTCCCCGTGCGCGCGGACCCATTACGCCCCATTCCGACAGACCTTACATTCGAATGCAACGTTTTTGCATTCGAATGTGGATTTATTTATTTTGTATTCAAAATAAAAAATAATAAAAACCGACAGTCCTAGTTGCAACTCTTGCGTCATCGGAACAGGGTGTTCAACGCGGTGCTGACGACCGTCATAGTGACAACAGCCAATCACATTAGTCTTCTGGTGTTGCATGAACGCGATTGGCTAGCGTCTGAGCTAGGGTATTTGCATAAGGCGATCTGATTGGCTGACGCCTACGTCGGCGCTTAAAAAGTTGAAAAGTTTTCAACTTCTGCCGCGAGCAACGGACCCAACGCGACGCGACGGACCCACAATTCATTTCGCCAACGCTTGATATGGCGTTGACGCTGACGCCCCGTGTGAATGGGGTGTTAAAGTCTTAACGGAATAGTGATGGGAAGTTCGGGAAATTTTACCGACTCGGACCTTTGAGTCCCGTTCAGCAAAATGAACGAATCTTTTTTTCCGAGTCATTTCGTTCATTTTAGCAAAATATAATTAAAATGTTACGTGTTACTTCCCTAATACGTCGTCTACTAACGCAAACGTTGATCACACTACAAACAATACAAAACTGCTATAAGAAACAGAAAAGATTAATTCATTGTTTACCTGAGTCTTCAGTGTATGATTAGCTCACCTCACCTCTTATCTGACAAGTCTTCCGGGTTTGGGCTTATGGGGCAGTCACGTGATGAATGAACGACTCAAACCCGAAGACTCGAGAGATGAACTAATCAATTCTCTTTCCGGCTCAGACTGCATTGGTTAAAGCTTATGGGGCTGTCACGTGATGAACGAACGACTCGGAAAACCCCGAAGACTCGAAACAGGTGAACTACTTGACTAATTCCAGTACAGAACCTATAGGATGTTGCGCATGCGCGACTGAACGAATCACTCCCTGAGACGACTCGTTCTTCCCGAGTCACATTAAAGATTCGTTCAAAATGAACGAATCGTTCAAGAACGACCCAACACTATAACGGAGGAGCACCGCGGTGCATAATGATGTCATGAACGCGCTCAGTTACTGAGCGGTAACACATGACTTCATCTCCTGGCCATAACCTGTTATGAATGACTTCCGTTTGACTAATGACTGGATTTGGTGGTTCTCAACCGGTTTTGCTCCAGGAGGACTCAGTTTTTACGATCCATCACATTATATAAAAAAGTATTTCTGTAATGAAAAAAAAATCAAACATAGGCCCAACCATATGCAAGTGCATCTGTATTTAAAGGAATAGTTAACCAAAAAATGAAAATTTGCTGAAAATGTACTCACCCTCAGGCCATTCAAGGTCTAGATAGGTTTGTTTCTTTTTCAAACAGATTTGGAGAAATTGAGCATTACATCACTTGCTCACCAATGGATCCTGTGCAGCGAATGGGTGCCGTCAGAATGAGTGTTTTAAAAGCAATGTTTTGAAGTTAAAAACTTCTTATTGATGGATTTGTTTATTACAAACACGCAGCTTTTTGCTTCACAAAACATTAATTGATGGACTGGAGTAGGGCTGCACGATTAATCGAATGCGATTGTCATGCGCATTTTGTTAGTAATGCCGGTTCTGTAATCAGCAGGAAATCATCATCACGTGCTTTCAGAAGGAGCAGAATTTACTACACATAGCTGTAGTTCACTGACAAGTTACGCAAAAAAAATTGCAGACGATTTTATTGCGATTGTTTGCGATAATGGCGTTTCTGAAGCTTGGTGCTGACGACCGTCATAGTGACAACAGCCAATCACATTAGTCTTCTGGTGTTGCATGAACGCGATTGGCTAGCGTCTGAGCTAGGGTATTTGCATAAGGCGATCTGATTGGCTGACGCCTACGTCGGCGCTTAAAAAGTTGAAAAGTTTTCAACTTCTGCCGCGAGCAACGGACCCAACGCGACGCGACGGACCCACAATTCATTTCGCCAACGCTTGATATGGCGTTGACGCTGACGCCCCGTGTGAATGGGGTGTTAAAGTCTTAACGGAATAGTGATGGGAAGTTCGGGAAATTTTACCGACTCGGACCTTTGAGTCCCGTTCAGCAAAATGAACGAATCTTTTTTTCCGAGTCATTTCGTTCATTTTAGCAAAATATAATTAAAATGTTACGTGTTACTTCCCTAATACGTCGTCTACTAACGCAAACGTTGATCACACTACAAACAATACAAAACTGCTATAAGAAACAGAAAAGATTAATTCATTGTTTACCTGAGTCTTCAGTGTATGATTAGCTCACCTCACCTCTTATCTGACAAGTCTTCCGGGTTTGGGCTTATGGGGCAGTCACGTGATGAATGAACGACTCAAACCCGAAGACTCGAGAGATGAACTAATCAATTCTCTTTCCGGCTCAGACTGCATTGGTTAAAGCTTATGGGGCTGTCACGTGATGAACGAACGACTCGGAAAACCCCGAAGACTCGAAACAGGTGAACTACTTGACTAATTCCAGTACAGAACCTATAGGATGTTGCGCATGCGCGACTGAACGAATCACTCCCTGAGACGACTCGTTCTTCCCGAGTCACATTAAAGATTCGTTCAAAATGAACGAATCGTTCAAGAACGACCCAACACTATAACGGAGGAGCACCGCGGTGCATAATGATGTCATGAACGCGCTCAGTTACTGAGCGGTAACACATGACTTCATCTCCTGGCCATAACCTGTTATGAATGACTTCCGTTTGACTAATGACTGGATTTGGTGGTTCTCAACCGGTTTTGCTCCAGGAGGACTCAGTTTTTACGATCCATCACATTATATAAAAAAGTATTTCTGTAATGAAAAAAAAATCAAACATAGGCCCAACCATATGCAAGTGCATCTGTATTTAAAGGAATAGTTAACCAAAAAATGAAAATTTGCTGAAAATGTACTCACCCTCAGGCCATTCAAGGTCTAGATAGGTTTGTTTCTTTTTCAAACAGATTTGGAGAAATTGAGCATTACATCACTTGCTCACCAATGGATCCTGTGCAGCGAATGGGTGCCGTCAGAATGAGTGTTTTAAAAGCAATGTTTTGAAGTTAAAAACTTCTTATTGATGGATTTGTTTATTACAAACACGCAGCTTTTTGCTTCACAAAACATTAATTGATGGACTGGAGTAGGGCTGCACGATTAATCGAATGCGATTGTCATGCGCATTTTGTTAGTAATGCCGGTTCTGTAATCAGCAGGAAATCATCATCACGTGCTTTCAGAAGGAGCAGAATTTACTACACATAGCTGTAGTTCACTGACAAGTTACGCAAAAAAAATTGCAGACGATTTTATTGCGATTGTTTGCGATAATGACAGCTGTTTGCATAGCTTCTCAGTGAACTACGGCTCTGTGTAGTAAATGCTGCTCCATCTGAAAGCATGTGAAAATACCACATTTAATAACATATTTTTACTCCAAACTCACTTCATAATGTCTTCATAAAAACTTCATAAATCTTCTGTTTATTCAGCTGCAGCGATAGGCATTTTCTGGGTTTCTTCTGCGAGGCGTATTTGGAGTTTCAGCGCGAGAGCGCCCTCTGGCCTTTGGATGGAGATTTACTACTGATCACAGAACCCTGCTTCACTGAAAGACACGCATGACAATCGCAGCTTCTGTCGAATCGCGATCTCGATTCCATTTCGATTTATCGTGCAGCCCTA